TCAGTGCTACTTCAGCTACTATATGGGCTTTTGAAGTAGCTGGAATGCTTGTACACTGTTACTTGAGATAGGGAAAGGAATAGGCTTCTTGATCCACCATAGTCACAGATCTACTAGTTTCCCCATTGCACTGTCCATGGCTTGTTAATCTCCTTTTTATGGGTTTCTATCCCTTGTGATGTTCTTTGCTGTGGAACCAGAGCTGTTCCACTGTTTGAGGGCTTTTCATTCCCACTGATGGTTGGTGATGGACAGAGGGAATGTCTGAATTAGGTGACAAGCAGCTCTACTAGGGTGACCAGACAGCAAATGTGAAAAATCGGGACGGGGTGGGGGAGGTAATAGGATCCTATATAAGAAAAAGACCCAAAAATCGGGACTCTCCCTATAAAATCGGGACATCTGGTCACCCTAAGCTCTACGGAGGAGAGGTGGTGAGAGAGAGAAAGAGAGAGTATGTATGAGCAGTTGACCCATAGGGTATGTCTACCCTACAGCTAGGAGCACGCCTCTCAGCCCTGGTTGACAGACTCAGATCACACTCCGTCTATACCCAGCCCGGGTTGACAGACTCATGTCGAACTCCCTGTCTGTACCCGGCCTGGGCCGGGCAAGCTAATGAGCCAACCAGCGGACCAAATTCAGTGATGAATCCTGGTCACATGCCACCTGAGGCACGTTGCACACATGCTAAGAGGAAGTTGGACTCAAGCTAGCATGTTAAAAATAGCATGGTGGATGTTGTGGTTTGGGCTGCAGCTCCAACCCTCAAGCCTAGGGGATCAGGTGGTCTTACACTATTGCTTATATTTCTAAGAGCATGGTTCTACAATAACATATACTTCCATCATTTGTATTCACAAATTTACTGCTCAGGGAATGAGGAGACAACTGTATTGTCTTCTCATAAGGAATAATCCTGTTCTTGCTGAACAAAGTTGCTTCTAATATTACTAAATTAAAAAAATAATTTCTGCCTAAGAAACAAGAAACAACAGCCTTGTTGAATACAATTATCTTCATTTTCATGAAGCTATTTAAATTAGAAACATGAGTTTCTACAGTTGGAAAAAAACATCCATGGTTAAAATGTTTGAAGCCCATCAATCTCCTTAACCACACAGCTAATGTGTTCCTTCTGTTTTCTTTGAATGAAATCACCATGAGTGGTTAGATGTTGATTTAACATAAAACAAATGGAAATGGGTGTTTCCTTAGTCATGTGTAGAATTTATTTTTAAAAACAATTAGCAAGTATTCTGAGTAAGTCAATGATTTTGTTATTTCTTAAATAATAATATAGATTATGAGTCGTTAAAATTGATTAGTGTAGTAAAATGTATTCAAACTGCACTTTACTTGTTAGGAACAGCTGCAGAATTTTCTTATTTTATTGATGGATTCTGATTTTTTTCAGTGACATTAAGAACAGTTATTTAGTTTAAAAGAACTGGCAATTGTCAAGATGTAGTTCCAAAGTCTTAAGATAATATACATTTCCTATTGTGGACTAAACCCTGCTCACTTTACAAAACTCTCCTAAGCTTTGCATGAATGAGACAAGCCGGATTTAGCTCTTTTTATCATTCAGTATTGTGTTTGAAATGTTGAAGTCTGAGTGCCAAATTAAATATGTCTTAACACTATAGAAGAGTTAATGTAAATTTTAGTCTGATTATTACACTATGGATATACAGCCCCTTCCATCGGTCTTTGCTCATATTAGGACTAATTATATGTTCACTGATATGTTATTCACAGGAATGTGTGGATGGATGGGGGAAATCTCTTTTATTAATATTATTTAAAATGTAATCATTTTTGTACACTCAAATAAAAGAAAAAAGGAATGTAGAAAATCTCTGTAAATCTTCAGCCCTTTTTTTCACGAAGAAAAAAAATATCTGGGATAATACTAAATTATGTATCAAGATATTTTAACATTTTTAATTCTTCTTTCATGAATACCCAGATACACACCACAATTTTATGGTAGAAAACTCTCCAGTGGTGTCAACACGGATGCATGGTTGTATATGAAAGCACAGTCTGACCAGTTTTGCAGGATATGTTCCATCATCTTTTTGAAGTATACCCTCCCAAGAACACAGATGACAGTGAAATCTATTCCAAGCGTTGTCATGCACCCTTTCATTAGAACACCCATATTCAGTAAGATATTTACAATTCCTTGTGAATCGTGTCAATAATCTATAACAGTTTGCCATTAGTCTTCAAGGGCCTGATCTGGGACATGAGTAAGTCCCACTGACTTGAAAGGAGTTTTATGCATGGAGAACATGTAGGTTAAAAGATAATGTTAACAAAACCTAACATAATAGAACTGTGTTAGTTAAAGTATTTGTTAAAATAATGTTGATGTAAACAATTTTGTCTGGATTTAAATATTCCCTGCAGTGTTTGGAATCCAGATATTTTGTAGTATTGTGCATTATGATTATAAACAAAAGAGAAAATGACTAGTCTATATTTACTTTGTGGAGTTGAAATGCAAAAAGTGAAATGGTGGGAAAAAAATTATTTATTCATAACTGTTTCAGTTTTAATCATCTAAAATGTTGTTAGTAAGAAATTGATTTTTAGATATGATTTTTAACCTGACAGTTTTCCTTTCAGTTGTTTTTAATCATTTCACTTATACATATAACAGTGTATTTCCACATTGTATTTCATCTTCTTACTGAAAGGTTTGTTTACATAATTGAATCAACCATAATTTTAAGTGTATTTTTGGCACATTCCATAGCTAACAAAAAGAAGTCATTTAAAGAAAAAGAACAAACTATAACAGGGCTGGAAACATTATTTTAAGGACTGCAAGATCTGGCCCATACTCTTGGAAAAATCTTATTGAAATCAGTGAGGGTAAGAAGTGCAGAATTAAGTCCAAAATATGCTGTGGATATATTCTGAAGAAATGTATCTGTAGTTTTACCCATTGTTACAATTTGTGGCAAAGGTACGTAACCCTTTATGTACAAAGAAATTTAACTCCCAAAGATTCCTAATAAAAGACAAAAAGTTAGACCACAGTCCAGAAATGGAATCTACATAGGTGAATCTCCATTGTTTACAGTGAATATCCGCAAAAGGCCAAGTTCTGCTGTCTTCCTCTTTCTTTACTCAGACAAAACTTTCAGTGAAGCCAGTCGACATTTTGCCTAAGAATGGACAGAATGATTCCTCTCTCCCAAAAGAAAAACAAACATAAATCCCTATATATTTTGCACTGTTTATAGCCCAACCCTGCTCCCACTCACTGATTGCAGTAAGAGCAGGAATAGGCCTTCTGTTAGTGGATGGCTCTCATAATTTTTTTTTTCATCTACAGCTGAACTTAGTTTAGAAAAACTAGAATATCAGTAATAAATATACATGGGCATTTTTGTAGTTATGGTTACCGTTATAAAGATGTCTCCATAGCAGGTACACTTAACCTCTAAATAGAAACCAGTTTCAGATAAATGCATTTTTAAATGATATACCATTGTGTATGTTTTAATTGTTAAACATATCTAAGGGCTTTGCTGGTTCCCTGAAATTATTTATAAAGGTTAATTTTTTTCAGCAAGAAAGAAATGTTTCCCTATTATATGGGAAAGAGTTAAACTGACTATACACAAAGGGCTGTAAAATGCTCACATTAAAACTGAAAAAAAAAATAGTAGAAAAAACATGGACTGGAATCTGGCCTCTGGTTTTTTAATTGAGGTGACCTTTAAGCACATCTGCTTCTCTTAATTCATATTAAGAATTATTTAAAAAAACACTATTGCATTTTATGTAGCAATATCAAAGACTGTTATCGCAACAGAAGCGTACATAGTTGAATAAAAAGTAACATGCTAACAAGTTGATATATCAAGTGTTTCTGAATATGGAGATAATGACCCAGATTTTCCGGTGTGATGTGGTTGTTTTGACCTGAACTGCCAGCATATTTTGGACCTAAAGTCATCATAACTGGCACTGGGAGGATCCCCAGAGCACCAAAGTAATCCTGCAATAGTGTAGAGCCAAGAGAGCTTTTACACCACTTTGCTGCAAGAAAAAAGGAAGGAAGGCCACCAGTAAAAAGGAAAGTGATTGGGTCACACTTGTGCTAAGTATCAGAGGGCTAGCTGTGTTAGTCTGTATCCACTTGTGCAGCTAAATTGATCCTTGGATGGATGTTTGTCCCCATGTGGCAGCCTGGTATTAATTCAGAGCAGTTCTTTAGCTGTTCTAAGCCTACACAAAAGTGAGCTTTAAGTTAAATTGCACAATGCTCTTGATTTGTGTTATCATTTCCCAGGGTTTTGTCTACTGTCCCTCCATTTCTTTATATAAACAAACACTTCCCAAAGCCAAGTCCTGCTTGCTGAACTGGGGCTTTCGAATATTTTAAATTTCCACAGTTTAGAAACAATAGAACATTTCTTCAGTATTTGCAACTTAAGAAAACACTTTTGGAGCTTTGAGAGGATATTATTGAAAGAAAGCAACAGGATTACTGGACTGTATTTGTACATATACGCACATGATTGGTTCAACTTAATATCTTTCTTGAAATTGTGTTCAATTATTATTTATCCTGGCCTGACATGCATTCTTTAATGTAGCTCCTTAGTTTGGATTGCTGTCTTTGATTGCTGACATGGGTAATGAATAAGAGGCGTAAGGAAATGTGTTCACTGGACAAGAGCAAAGTAATTTCAATGCAAGGAAATGAAGGAAACAGACCTAGAAAATCCTGAATGCATTTGGGAGCCTTGGACTCATTTTCCTTCCTTTGCTTATTTTTGCTCAGAGATGGTAGCGTGCTCCACAGACTCACGGTCTGGTGACTTATGGGCATGTACACGAACAGTCAGGGCCGTTTTTACTGAGGTAAAGTGTGCACGCTCAGGGTCTTGCACTTTAACTTCTTGGCGCGAGAAGAACGTGCTGAGTGTCCCCTGAAGTCTCACGCATTCAAAGGGCAGCCCTCCCCCCTCAGGTGCCTTTCTTGGCTTGCCACCGCGCTCGGCGTGCGCCAGAGCCACTGCAGGCAGATCGCACACAAAGGAGGAAGGACTCGCGCTAAAGTTTCAGGGGCCTGACGCTGGCTGCTGCCCCTTCGCGAACGTGCACTGGGAAACGTCCAGCCCTGCATGCTGGAGTCGAGGAGAGAAAGTGCCGAGGGGGCGCCTGCCTGGCCGCAGCGTCGCGCTCGGCTCGAGAGAAGTCCCTGGGGAAGGGCGTCGGAGGAGAGGCCGAAGGGGAGCCGGGCAGACAGCGAGCCAGCCAGGGACACCCAGCATCGTTCGCTTCGCTGTCAGCGGCGCGGGCCCTTTGCAGCCTGCCCGGGACAAACCTTGCAGCAGCTCCATTGGCTGAGAGCGGCTAGCGCTGCTGCGGCTGCTGCCAAAACAGCTCAAGCCAAGCGCCCCCTTTCTCCAGCCCCCCTCCGAGCAGGGCAGCGGCGGCTGCAGCAGCAGCAGCCAGGCGCTCAAATGGAGTGGAAAATGGCCAGTGGTGGCATATAGCGCCATAGATTATCTGCTTCACGTTTTGTATTTAGCTGCCTCTAATCTGCTTTCCTTTGCCTGAGCCCCCAGCTGGGGGTGGGGGGAGAGGCAGGCGGGAGAGATTCTGTCCTTTGCTGCCGGTACTATACGCGATAATGTTTATATGATTAGCTGAGCCCAGGGTGGGGAGTAGAGAGAGGGGGGTGGAGATTGGAGGAGGAGGCTGGAGGTGACTCCAGTTCAGAGCCAGTGGAGAGTCTGTGTCAGGCTTTAGCAGTCCCCAGTCACACACACAGAGGTGCATGAGCGAAAAGGAGCTTGCAATACAATTCACTGGGATTGTGTGCGTGTGTTGCGTTACCCCCCCGCCCCCATTGGTGTGTGTGTTAGTAGCTCCGCGCTTGGTTCCTGGGCTCCAGCCGTTCACGGGGCAGCAGCGGCGAGAGGAAGACGAGAAATCCGAGGAGGGGCTGGAACTGTATCATGCCAGAGGCCAGCATGTCATCCAGGGAGATGTAAATGAGGTCGAGGCGAACGACAGAGACACGGAGAAGGGAGGGGGCTTTGCGCTGCAAAATCTGAGTTGGTCGCCCCGCTGCTCCTGGCATCGCCTTTATTCCCCTTCTCGTGAGCGCTGCGGAGAAAGGACTCCCGAGGCTGGTCACATACACTGGGCTTTGCACCGTGGTTCACCCCTTTGATTGATTGCTATTATTTATTTATTTATTGGTCGGGGAGCCTGGCTATTTTAGACCTTTCCTGCCGAGCGGGGTGTTGGAAACTGCCGGAAAATGTTGACTTAGCCCTAGCAAAGCCAGCCTACCGACCGGCCGGCCGCTTGGAGGAGGAGAAGCCGCCTTGCGTGTGTTGTCCCAGCTCAGCAGCGAGCTGCAGAGCCAGCTGCCTCCCTCTCTCCCTACCCAGCCCAGCTTTCTCCTGCCCGGTCCCCGTTGCGCCTGCTGTTGCTGTGGTGCCTCCTGAACTAACTCCTCTGCCCCTGGCGTTCAGAGGGGGCTCACCCGGCGCACTTCTCTGGGGCATCCGAGTTGAGAGAGAGAGAGAACCTGGCCCGGCTTCGGTTCCACAGAGCGAGGTAAGACGAGCTCAGGGCAACAATCTTGCTGCTGCTGTTCCCAGGACCTGTTTGCTACTTGCGTCGCTTCCCTCTTGAGCCGTTTGCAAAAAGAAAAAAAAAGGGACTGGGGAGGGGGTTGGCTCGTTTGCTGAACCCAAGGCCGCCCCCCTTCTCCCTTGGGGTATCCCCCGTTCCCAGGGTATATTGGTGGCGACGGCGAAGAGAGGAATAGGCCCCCCACACCCCATGCAGCCTGTTTTTTTTCACGCCATCACCATTTACTAATAGTCCGCGCCGGTTAAATCAAAGTGCTGAGGGGGGGGGGGTGAGGACAGACCGGGCGAGCCGAGGGGGCAGCTGCCACTGGGGGGGGGGGGGTAAGGAGACTGGGCAGGGGAGGTAGGGCGCGAGGGCCGGCGGCAGGAGCATGGCTTGCTGCCTTTGGGGGCAGGCAGAGCCCATGGGGCTGGTTAATCCCCCGACAGGGGCTTCCCAGGCAGCCCCAGAAAGGAGCCGGTGACATGAAAATGGAGCCAGATGTGAACTAGGGTGGCCGATCATGGCCAATTAGAGGCAGGCTCCAGGGGCTGTGGGCCGGCTTCTTGCAGGGGGTGGGCGCCCTGGGGAACCAGGGCTGGCAGGGTGGGAGTGCGGAGGAGCCCCAGTGGCGTGGGGTCCCGGGGCGGCCACAGCCTCTGGGCCCTGGGGAGAGGGGAGCCGGTGCTGCAGGCTCCTGGGCAGCCGGACTGGTGGAGCGGGACCTGGGGGCGGGCTGCGCTTTCCTGCCCAAAGGGGGCTCCGGGCCGCGGTGGGAGAGCAGGGCCGTGGGCAGACTGCGAGCTGCCGGCCTCTGAAAGAAGTCACTCCCGGGGATCCTCGACCTCCTCCCACAGCCCTCACCTTCCCCCCAGCGAGGGCTCTGGTGTCAGAGCTGGGGAAGGCTGTCTCCTGCCAGGCACCCCTGAAAAGGGACCAGGCTGAGCGGCTCTTCCAAGGGAGCCTGCAAGGCTCTAACTACCAGCAGGAGCCATATGGTTCCCGTTACCGGAGCAAGGCAGCCTTTTCTCTCCTCTTTGGTCTGATCCAACATTCTTTCCTGTATATTGAGCCAGCAAGTCTCCTTCTCTCCCCTCCCTCCTTGGGTTCAGAGGAGGAATATCTTGACGTGGGTAGTTCATTCATTTGTCTGTGTGTGTGTGTGCATAGAGCAGGCCCCACCAAGTCTGGCGAACTCAAGTTGCGCAATGAAGAAAGTTGCATCCGTTTAGTAAATAATTACCTGTTGCAGATTTATTTTAACTAAATCAGCTTCATGAAGAGCCAGTCCGCCCAGCCGCGAGTGCATAGGGAAAGAGGCTTCCAGCTAGCAATGATAATCCTTCCCAGTTGTGGAAGAAGGAGGGTTTTTTTTTAGTTTCAGATGTGGAAAGCTGGGGCCATCTGGAGACAGAAAACAAAGTACGTGTTTCACGGGCACCTTTTACTGTATCTGGGTTTAACAAAAATAGTATCCGGTTATAAATCTAAATGAGTGCTGGTGGGGTTTGGACATAGTTGATTTGTCAGAAAGTAAAGATGTGGTATTCAGGTGTATGTTTTTCTTTGCATAGAAATGTCCTTGCGCACACGATGAAGAATTCTGCAGAACAAATGTTCCGTTGTTTGGTTTCTTCAGACACTCTGATTCCCTCCTTTTGTTGCTTGTCACTAAAAGAGGTGCCATTTCACATCATTCTGCACAAATTGTTTGAATTAATGCAAGTGTGAATTCTTACCGTTTGAAGGGGTCTATTAGCATATCAAAGGTTTCTTAGTTCCAGCTCAATTGAGAAAATTTCAGCTTGTCTTCCATTTGCTTCCAAGCAGAGGCCCAAAGGGCAGTGGGAATTGTAAAGGGATAAAATGGGGAGGTGGATTTGGGTTATGTTTCTGAACTTTTGCTGTTTTGTAATTATGTGAGTGAAAAACATTGTCTGTCTGCTGCAGAGCCCTTGCAAACGGTCAGACAATTATTTTCTATTGGTTAATGGTTTGTTCAAGAAAAAGAGTGACCTTTTATGACAGCCACAGTGACATTGCTTCTGGTGTCTTCTGTCTGTTAGTGGGATTTAGAAAGCCTTTTCTACTGGACTCATGCTTTGGGTATGGCCTACACATTATGGCATTAGGGGGTCTGAATAGGAAAGAACTTCTAATTATTTCAGAGAAAAATGAGATCTTGAAATAAAAGACAATTCCAAACCTTTGAAGTAAACATACTTTTCTCCTTAACATGTAGACTAGGATAATAGACAAGCTTTCATATGTAGTTTAAAAAAGTGTTACCATCTATTAGCCATGTACTTCAATTTCATTTTTATTATAAGTACATTTCTAATGTGAAAAATAATAACTTCTTGTAATCTGATTTAATGGGTTAAATATGGGATACTAAGAATAAAGTATTATATTTTGCGGTTAATGATAGTGGTGTAGTAAATATTCTTAAATAGGTGTGGCAAGGCCTGTGTCAGTCTCATAGTAGAATATTTATCATTATGTTTTAAATTGGTTTACATACCTCAAATTTACACAATTTTTGATTCATTAGGTACTGTTGTTTTCCTGTGTTTGCAAAGAGCAATGTCTCAGTCTACCCTTTCATTATCTTAAAAAATCAATATTCATAATCTGGCAAACCAAGAGCCAAGCAAAATGCAGTTATCCTTCAGTAAGGTGGGCTCTTTTCCAGAGAGTCGATGGTTCTTGGGGACTGCATTCTGGTCTCTCTCTTGTCTTTGGCAAAAAATAACTTTGTATCTCCCAGACCTCTTAAACTGAATAAAATATCATCTGTTTTGTGTGTGTGTGTGTTTTTTAAAGTGGTTTTGAATGCTTTGTAGGTTCATGGGTTCTTTGCACATTGTAGTGTAAGGAATATGAATATGACATGCCTTTATTGTAAGAGGTATCTTTACTAACATTCAAAAGTGTTCCTTTTACTTTCATTTAATAAAGAAACTGAGTTGCATGGTATAAGAGTCTTGAAGAAAACTGTAGTTAATTACATAGTTTATTTAGATTTCTATTACCCTTAAATGGACACCACTTCAGTATTTGGTAGATAGATGGGTTTTAGTGGTCCTAAAATTGTGTCATTACCTTGAGGTAATTTTTAGCAGTTTATTTGCCTAATGCCTTCAGCTGTCTAAAGTGTACCTTTTGGTGGTATAAAAGGAACATATTGATGTGATTGCCATTATTGCACTTAAGATGCTGTTAACTAGTCTGCTTTGAATGCAGAGTGCTATAAAGAAAGCGCATTATCCTTAGCGCTATTAGGGATAATCTAAAAATTGTCTTGAAAATGTTGCACTTCAGTTTATGTGATGGTGATCCCAAATTTGACAAATCTCTAAAGATATAAAATGCAGTGGAAGAAAGATTTTCAACATTCAGATGACAAAATTGGACCACTTAGAGAAAAATTAATGTGCAACAGCAGCACTTCAGCTGCCATTTTCAATCACTGTGGGTTTCTATGTGTTGGCAACAGAAAAGGAACATAGACATTCAGATAGTTCTGGGAGCTGGTGGTTGGGGAAATCAGGATATTGAATCATGTGGGTAGAACAAACCAATTACTTCAGGTTTTGACTTGAGACTGGCCAATAAACATTTTTTTGGGGGGCTTCTGGCTCCCTCTGCTCATTAATAGACCAACATCAAAGCGAGCAACCAAACTTCCAAATGTTATAAAAACTAATGTAAAGATACAGATCTTACATGTAGTCTTGCAAGTCTTAATTTAAGACAAGCAGTTGGAGTTTTTATTGCAGCAATTTTCACAATCAGCAGAGACATTAACACCAGGCTTCTGGGTGTTTCCTTCCTTACAATGAGCAAGAGGAGAGCTTTAAAAAACAAAGTTTGTTTAGTAGTTAGTCCTTATTTGATCACTTCAGAAGCTTTCTCCATGTTTTATTTATCCTTTTTATGGCTTTTAATGTTTTAAATCAAGAATTGGGGTTATTCAGAGGATATTTCTTAGCTTGGGTAAGAAAATTATTTATTGAAATTAAAATAATCAAGGTGGCAATAGTTTAAAAGTTTGTGCTATATTTATTTTTTAATGATACATTCTAAACATGGGATTTTGTTTCTGAAAAATGTGATAGTTCAAAGTGAATCTCTATTTGAATAAGGTTATATCTTTTTTTAGTAGAGTAATCAAATGAATTTACTGTACTGTTTGGTAAATATATTGTAATCTGGCTGGTTGTAATTTCACTTTTAGAAAAACAAGGATCTATTTGCAGCAAATTTTGTCTAAATTCAAGTTGGAAAAACATTTTTATTTAAGTAAGTCTAGCAATTAACTGTGTGCATCCAGTATAGAGAAAATTACATAATTAGGAAAAATCAGAGATTGAAGCATAAAGATGATCAAATTTTTTTTGGAAAATTTGGCCTAAAAAGTTTATCTGATGCACCAGTACTCGCTAGGTTTGCTCGCACCACTTCCATATAGTGTGTTGACTTTCATATTGAAATTTTTTGTAGATTTCTTCTAAACAGCTCTTGCTGAACTTATTGGTAAAATTATCTTTACCAGGAACTACACTAATCCCTAGACAATTCTTTTACATTTTAAATAATTGCAATACATTTTCCTGAGCCATCATATTTTCCATTGGGAAGTACATGAGGATGACAGATAAAACAAAAACTTGAAGTAGCTATTAATGATCTTACCAGGTGAAGTGCAAGAGAAGAAGTTAAACTATGTCTGGCGGATAATTGAAATCGTATTCATGCACAGGTAGACAGGCAGTCAGTTATAAAGCAGCCTACTTTATAGCAAACTTTAGTGAAATTATAATCAATCATGTTACTTAGATATGTCATGTTCAACAGAAATTTTTTAAAGCATTTTATAGGATTGATACATTTGTGATGTGAAAAGGCAGCTTGAAATAGCAAAATATTCTACTTCTTAAGTATTTAGGTGCAGCTTTAAACTTAATTCTGTCTTTTAT